CCTTCTTTCATTTTGGTGTTTACTAACTGTCTTATCAGAAAGACTTTGTTAGAAGCAGAAGGTTTCTCATACATGTTTGACAAAGCTTTCATCAATCCACATGCAGTAGTCTCCTTCACAATGTTAAAGGCCACATTCTTGGCCAGTATAAATCTGATAACAGCCAAGGCTTTTCTGTCTAGAGCAGCCCATTTTGAAGTATTAATATATTTTACTTGCTATTTATCAAATGTGTGGGTTATTTAGGGAGTTTCGCATAATTGGTATATTTGGTTTTATGAATCATGTAGAATAATCACGTTTGGGTTTTTGGACATTTTGATAAATAAATCATAAGTGAGGGTTCTTTTAATGTTTTATCCTTTAAATGAAGATTACTTGGTGATAAATGCATTTTATTGCATTTGCTTGGGAAATGCATACTATTGTGTTATGGGATATTTTGGAAATATAAAGGGTATGGTTTTAATAGGAAAATGATTTGTCTCAATCAACGATGTGTTTTTGAGTTAATCATGTCTTTGGAACATGTATTTGCATAAACGTCGGTTAAATACGTGTCATTTCTTTTGATGACTTTTATGAAATAGTTGATTGGGTTGTTGAGCTCTTGGCTCGGTTTTGACTTTAATGAGCTTGGAGACACTTTTCTAATTTTGAATTGCTCTATGTCAAGCTGTTTGTGTTATTAGCAATTATGACATAATTATATAATGTATTGCATGTTTTGAGTGCGTTAGTCATTCAATTTGAGTCGTGTAATTTTATGGCTAGAATGCAATAGATCCATATGCATAAAAGTCGGTTTTGATTGGGGATATCAACCCCGTATTATAACTTGAAGTAGGCATTGGGTCTTCATAGACAATAAGGTGTAGATTCTTGGTGTCGGGCATCGGTCATCAATCAATATAATGTAATTCCTAGCGTATTATAGCTAAGAATAGGCATTGGGTCTTCATAGACATTAAGGTGTGGACTCTTCGAGTCTGGCATCAGCCATTGATCAATATAATGTAACTTCAAGTGAGTAAGCTTATTACTTCATTTGACTAGATACTGGATTTGGTTGACGTCAATGGTACATGTAACTGATGCTCATATAACATTAGCTTGTGACTTACTTATGCCACCCAGGGGTAAGCGTGAGTTAATTGTGTAAAAGACTTGATTTAAGCTATGTTTCCCGTTTTAATGTTTATAGCTTTATACTTGGCCGTGTGAGTATTGGGTTTTGGTTGTTTATATTTTGATTAATGAGTTTTCATCAAGAAAATGGTGGGTTTCGGAAAGATGTTGCTTTTACGATAAAAGATATTTCATTTGCGAAATTATAATTTCAATCGGCAGTCTTTCATTTTTACTGATTTATGATTATGATGAAAACTGCTTGAACTCACTAGGCGTTAAGCCTAACCATTTTTATTTGTCAGCATATGCATCAGATCCTTGTTTGGGTTTGGTACTAAAGGCACTATGATGAACTGAGTGCTAGTTAGAGGCACGAGAGGATTAGTAATTCAGTGACGTCTTCCATTTTTGGAGATAGCGACTTTATTAGGTTATAGTAACACATGTGCTTAACTTAGTCTCTAAATAAGACTTGGTATATCATTTATTGATGTTGATCTTAGATTTAATCTTTGACGTAATTCAAGTATTGACTAGTAGTTAGGGATTTACCCCCTTATTTGTTGTATTATATTATGAAAAAATGGCCATCTTGAGGGGATAGCAATTAAAGAAGCCAAAAAACAAATCAGGTCAAAGAGTGCTACGAAGCCATCTATTTGGGTATAATGGGTCTTATTCTCGCTCTTTCCAGATTTGAGGGTGTTACATCTTGTGTTATATGGGATAGGTAGATTACTTTTCCTGCCAACCATTCATACCTCCATTTGTCAACCAGAGAACCGTCTTTCTTGGAGTCCGTTTGTAGTAAGGATCCACTCAGTTGGACTACTCTATAGCATTCATATCTCTTAAGAAAATCAATTATATATTTCCATTGTGAAATGAAAATACCTTAATGAGATCTAGCTATCTCCATCCTAGGAATTACTTTAGACTTCCAAGATTTTTAATCTCAAATTCCCTATCCTTGAGACAAGAAATAGTTGAGAAAAAACTGATCTTAAAATCTATTATGGGGCTCAACAAAAACTTGGACAAGGTGAGAGGTAGAATCCTTGCATGAAACAATTGCCAAGTTCACATTGTTATTTTTTAAGTGTGAAAGGAGAGCTCTAGAAAGGTAATGTTGGGAGACAATCAAAACTTCGTCAACTGATGATCATGGATCAACAATGTTGCATGAGGCTTGGGACAACATAATCAAAACAAGAAAGGGAGGCTTGGTGCGATCACTCCACACCTGTGACAAACGAGCATGGTCTTAGGCCCCTGTGCTTCCCTAACACATATCAAGCATCAACATAATGGTCCAAGGTCCACCTAGCAATAAGAAAATCAAACAACTGCATTTTAACCAAGACAAGGCAATGGTGTCTATCAAGCCAAACCAAGGCACCGAGTCTACTCATCCAAGAGGCTGGTCATCCTGAAGGACCTAGCAGGGACTCCTCAGCAGTAATAGCCATGAGTCCAGGCATCAGCATGGTCAATCCTCAGGACTCTCAAGAAAACTCCACTGCAGCGGTCAGACTGTTTCACTCGTCAAGGCCAAGACCAAGCAAACAGAATGAGTGAAGATGGCTCCTTCTCTAGAACAAGCATAGAAGGATCTCTTCCTCAAGAACAAGTCAAGATGGCTACTCCATCCAAGCCGCCACCTTAAGAATGTATGTTCGTGACAGCATTCAAGCTAAGGAGCATCCAAAAGGCACAACTTCCCAAAATACTAGCCCCGGTGTACAATTTGCGGCTTAATACATAATGTCTTCTAACCCATACTGAAATAACCTAATGTTAAAGTTACGCTAATAGCCTAATATATTTTTCTTGTAGCTGCTTTACAATCCAAACATTATCCCAACTCTTTGATAGCTTATAATAATCTGATGCACTCAAGGACTGCACTAATCCTATTAGATAGGGAAGTAATACACGAAATTTGGAGTTATAATAATAATCAGAGATAAATGATCAAGTTTAGCGCCATCACCTTTTCAAGCAAACTCTCATTTTCTTCCTGTAGCATGTCAATCTGCAAGTAGAATTTACACACATTAATGGCGTTTGCAGGTGCGTTGGGAAGGTGAGGAGGGAGAGAGGCCATACCTCATCTTGCAGAGCTGAAGCAGAGGCAGAAGTGGAAGCATTAGCAGACCGCTGATTACTAGTTTCCCTAAAAGCGAAAGCAGCACCCAAATCCAGAGACAGCCTACTTAAAAGGGAGCTACAACATGTGCATGATGAAAAAATATAAGAACTCAATAGGGCATACCAAACTTAAGATGAAAATAAACAATAAGCAGCAATCATGAAATAGTATATAAAATTATAAGAAAAAACTTGCATCCAGTGGACAAAATAGGGGCAAAAAGAACACTGAAACAGATAAGAAATATGATGAATATTGGCATGATGAACTTGAAGCCTAGAGAATATGACAGTATCTTGCATTTTCATGAAGATAAATGTAGCTTAACCAAAGAGCCTTTGGCCTAGCTATACCTGGACCTCAATAAAGGTGAGAAGGGTGTGTGAGTTCATTTTGTCATGTATAAAATACTATACACTCCAAAAAAATGTATTGTATACTTTTTAAACTGGTTTTAAATGAAACTCTATGAATCGGTAGCTCTTCAATTCAGTCAAGTGATAAAAGTCTAGTTGGAGATTTAATTCATTAGGGCAAAAGAGAAAACAAGATTTTTTTGGAGAATCAAGAAAAACCTATTTCATTGTCTTCGTCCCACGTTAACTGCCATTGTCACCCATTAAAGTCACACAATATCAAGTGACATTCAAAACCATAACCAAAACCAAATAGGCCCAGTACATCCCACACGGAGCTGGGGTGGGGGCGTACGTTGATTTGACCTCTACCCCAAAGAATAGTGGAAAAATATTCAAAACCATATTACATAATACTTTGCAAGAAACACCATAGAAGATGAGGACCCAAGTCTCGTATTTCTCACTTTATTGAAACACCATACTTGAAAATGATGGGGATCTTTGATCATCACTGTGTCTTTTTGAATGGAACTCATTTAATGATACCTAACAAGTTGAATAATAGAAGTTCTCTAACAAAATCTTAAATTTAACTTGGGACATCTTCCGAGAGAGGCAGAAATTGAGAACATTCAACTGGTCCTTCTAGCAAATTTCAAAATACCTTTTATTCTTTTGAGTATCAGATCGGGTGTCTACTTGACTGCCAAATAAGGTTGGCCTGAGTGTCAAAGGAACGCTGGGGGGTACCATAGTCACTGGCTTTATTCCCAAATTTGGGCGACTAGCTGGGACAGCACGAGCAGAAGATGGATGTTCCACAGGGTGGACAAGTGGTGATCGAGTAGATCGAGCAGAAGTAGGTTGAACACGTTCTGCAGTGTTGTTTGATTGAGATGGAAGAAGGCTATTGGGAGTTTGGTCAGATGAAGAACGGTCATATTGAGGATGTATATGTTCCATAGCGTAGGAGCTGCTTGAAGAGGACCGCATAGACTGATGCCGGAGTTCAGCATGTTTTATTACTGGCTGAGATGCTCGGCCAATAGATGCTGCACGTGGAGCTGAATGTTGTTCTGTAGTTGTACCAACTGTCTAATACAAAATAATAACAGGATTCTCACGTCATATCGACAAAATCATAGCATGTAAATGAAAACTATTAGTATAGATCAAGCAATTCAAATGTTACGCCATCGGTATCATGTAAAAAAATGTGAAATCACACTCTTGCAAGTTGCAATCGCTTACCGTTGCATCATTGCATGTCAAATTAAGAGCATCCATGCTGGAGCCTTTTGGAGAGCTTTTTGGCTTGTGCAGTTACAAGCTCTAAAAAAGATTATTTTTTGCTTGTGGGTCCTATTTTCTAGGAAAAAACCTCTAATGAAAAAGGCCAACCATTGTGGAACAACTATATTCTCCAATAAAAAGCATGAGTTAATCATTTAATGATCATATTTCCATAGCAGAAAAGCAAAAAACAGTCATGAACTAATGGCTGACAGCTTAAACATTTACATTGCATTTACTTAGACCAGGTTGCTGAGGTCTCCATTTTATGGTTTCTTCGTAGATTTCTCAATATCTTCATTTATTCTTACATGGTATCATTAGGATCCCCAAAATTAGACATTCAATGGGCAAAGCAAATAGGATCTTAACCTTTCTTGCCAGTTCATTTGCCCTTTCAAGAAACAAAAACTAATATTTATTATTTAAAATATAATGTCAAACATAAAAATGCAAATTTTGTTTACAAAATCATTTAGGTGAAGTTGTCAAAAACCATTCTGGACAATCAAGGGTTCTACAGTACTGCAATGCTACTAATATACGTTATGATACTTGAACAAGGCGATCATCCATTTGCATGTAAACATACCATAGGCGAGCGAGGCCGAATTTGAGACCTTTCGGCGGCGGTGGCGGAGGAGGAGGAGGAGGATGTGGCGGCGGCGGGGGGATTGTAATCAGACAAGAAATCGTCATCATCTTCGCTATCAGAGGTTTGCTGATGAGTCATCATCTGAGCCAGCCTCTGTGCCGCCGCTTTGGTGGTCTGTGACCTCTTCACAACCGACCCAGAACGTGAATGCCGGAGCATCGTCATTGGAGATACCCCGCCCCGAGTGGAAGACGTCGGAGATAATTGGCCATCACTGCCTCCACCACCAGAGGTTGCACTCTTCTCTCTCACGTAAACCGGCTTCATTTGACGATCCATTCCTGCATGATCCAACGCCCCTATTGCCATCAATATTAGAAACGCAATCTCATCATATACATTTTAATTCCTCAATTGATTTTGATAATTACTCCGCCATTGTCACTCCCTCATCAAAAACATAATTTCCCATGTACCACATCATCGATTTCTTCCATTATAACACATAGAAGATGATGATGATGATGAACTCAGAAATTTAGGAAATGGAATCGAATTATTAAAACATCTTTCAATATCCCTACAAAGAGTTGATAAAGTTGTGACGAAAGTAACCAACCCACCTGCGCTGCGATTGATCAAAAATGATGTTGCTTTAATTGAAAATTGGATCACTTTTTTTTAATCTAGAAAACAAGCTACAAATTTAATGAAGTCGTGTGGAGTAAAACTTCAATTTTGGTCCTTACAATTTAGTGAAAATTCTAAACTTCCTTTGTATTTTACTCTTAAAATGGTCCCTAATCATTAATTTGGTTAATAAATGTCCATCAAAGAGGAGAGTATTTTTGTCTTTTCTTCCTTTTCCTTATTTTTACAAATAACTTTTAACGTAGTTAGTGTCAAAGAAAAATACATACTACAAGGATAATTTATAGATTTATCAAATATCAGGTTCCACCCTTAGACTTTTTTTCTTTACTCCTAAGTAAATCAAATTGGAGAGGGAGGAACAAAACACTATGATCTTAGGGGTGTTTAGGATTACTTATTTGAAACAACTTATACTTTTCTACAAAAACTTATTCTTTATCAACTAATTATAAGTTATAATGGTTTTAACTTATTCAAAAACTTCTTATTACCGGTTTGACACCGGTATAAGTTATTTATCAAAAGTGCTTATGATCGATGTCACACCAAAATAAGTCAATAAATTATTTTTATAAGCAATACCAAACACTCCCTTACTGTTATCTGATTTTTATCTTGTCTATGTCAAAGAACAACAAAAGTAGACAAAATCAAAAGTTATAAATTCTCATTAATAATAAGCATCATCAATCAATAGGAATGGGCTTACAATAAAAAAGAAATAGTTATTATGATAAATCCTAATTGTAAGGTATTTATGCCCACGACATATGTCACAGAGCATGTAAACCTATAGGATTGCATACAAAATATATGTTTGCTTCTATTTTTGATTAACTGAGTTAAATCACGTTGATTAATTTTATTCTTGGAGAATAATTTTAAAAAGTATGTGTTAAAATGTAATTATGATAATTACAATGTGTTATTCTAAATGTATATAATTATATTAAAGTTAAAATAATTATATAGATATTACAGATAATTATTAAAACCTTATTTGAGTTATGGACCAACTATAAAAAGTCCATATAAATAAGGTGATAGGTTAAATCAAAAAGAGATTGAATTATTTTAGATTTAGCTATAAGAGAAAATACAGAAAATAAACTTTTTCTTTTCTGCACAACACAAATTAAATCTGGGTTTTGGGCTAGCACCCGGTGGAGGTGTAAAAAGTGTTCGTGTGTGGAATTCCGATAAAGGGAACTGGGAACTTGTTTGGATTGTAGGTGCTCCGTCAGAACCGACCACATATCATAAAGGTACACTTCTAAACACCATATGGTTTGTTTAGAATATAATTTAATGCATCATTGGATAATTTTTGAAAAGTTTTATGATTTATTGTAACCTAAAATTTATTTTCTGCTAAGTTTCAAAAGGTTACAAATTGTTTTAAAACTCTACAATGGTATTATTAACACTTTGATTGCATTTAATTTAAAGGAACAATGTTAATAAGGCAAGAGAAATTAATCGACCATTCCCATGTTTGGAACCGTACGCCGATCGCTAAGGTTTTGACCTATGTGATGTTCGTCGGCCACAAACTCGATGTTGATGGTTACCTGTGGCTTAACCATTATCCGCACCACCATAACCCACATTAGGGCGGTGAGGTGGTTTCCTTGTGTACCACGTGAATCATGGGTAGGAACCAGCACCTTAAGCGGTTTGTGTCGTGTCGAGCCACTAGGCCACTGCTCAGTATGGTTGGTGCTAGACCTTAGTCGGCGTTCTTGGCCTCCGTCCCATGGAACATGCTTTGAGTTCTATGTGTTGCGGTTGGACATCTTGCCAAGCAGCCACGTGTCATGACCTACCAATCGGCTGGTGTCGAGGCTTGTTTGTCGTGTCGCGGGTCCACATGATTAGTTTGTTTTGATCGTGTCATCGCACCAAGCGGCGGGTGCATTGGTCGATGGCTTGCTAATCCCTGGTTGTACCACCGCTCCATGCGACTGGTACTGTGGTCGGCCTGTGTGTCGCTGCCTAAAACGGGGTTAGGCACCATGGCTTTTTTGTGGTCCGCCCCATCGATAGGTGTGGTGATTTGGATTCGGTCATCGGTGCTGCTGGTTTTTCCCAACTATCGTCGATTGATTGCACACATCGACTTTGGCCGTTTTTGTTATCAAACACCAACCAGTGGTTCACGGTGGTACCGTTGCCGCTGGCTTGGAGCCGTGTGGCTGGGTTGATGCCCCAATCAGTTGGGCCATAGAATTGGGCTAAGGCCCATGTTTTGTTTTAATTTTTGGTCATGGTTTGATGTCCTACCGGTTGTGAGTCGAGTGGATTCAGATCTTTCTTGTCATGCATTAATTTGTTCTGGCTATTTTGTCCTATTATTTATGTTTAATTATTATGGCCAAAATTATTTTATTTTATGTTGAAAATAATTTAAGTGGTCGTGATGTGTTTATTTTTATTTATTTTGAAAAATTAAAATATACTAATTACAATGGATTTTAATTTTTAATTTAAATTTTCTAGATATGATCGATTGCAAAATAGAATAGGACATGTTGAGTTTTATGTTTTAAATTGATATTAAGTCTAAAGACGATGTTCCAAGATGTGGTGACGGAGTACTCGAGGTTCACCAAGTTGGTGAGGTTTTCAAGACGTCCTTAGATTGATTGTGATGGTTGTAGTGGTTGTTTATTTTGCACTTTCAATTATTTATTTGATTACAATTATTATAAATGTGTGCAAAATGTTTTTAAATAAATTGAAATGCAAAATAAAATTTTAAATCAATAATAAAAAATGATATTTTTAAAATTTATATGATTATCAAAATCAAACTGATTTTTAGATAAGCTTTTAAAAACAAAGATTTCTATTTTAGATAAAATGAAATATTTTTATAAGTATATAATGTTTTTCTAAAATTAAAACCTTTCACAAACATAAATTATGCACTGCCCATTTAACATATTTGTCAAGACTTAGGGATTTTGGTATTGTCGGTGTCTAGCCAATCATGTCGGATGATTGTAGTGTGAGACAAGGTGCCTAAATAAGGATATTTAAGTGAACAATTGCATTTGCCTATTCGCTTAAATAGTCGTGTTTTGGACGATTAATCTCAATAAACCCCAAATCAAGAATTTAGTTGGGAGCACGATATTTTAGTGTGGTTAGTTTATGTAACACCCCATTTTTTTCGCCAAATGAAATATAACGTCATTCAAAATACTAATTTTCCAATAAATATCCTCAACATAATGAGTCAATAGAAACCTTTTACAGGGGAAAACATTAAAACTCAGCCCTCAGCCAACAATATCTTAAATACTAACATGTCCCAAACTGGGTCAAACCATGTTCAAACAAAGAAGAATGTCAAAATATTCAGACACTACTTAAAACAAATAGAAGAAAATCTTCTAGGCATGTCCCTTGTCTTTATCGGCTCCCGAAACGCCCTCTACTGAGATGTATACTACACTCACCTAAATAGTCGAGCGAGTTCATGGTTATTGTGCAATAACATTCATCAATTATCATACCTGGAAAAAGACCCAACCCATGCCCAGACTCATCCCACAATTTGTCCAGGTCGTTAAGATCAAAGGACAACCAACTTCTTTCACTTGATTGTGGTCGTTTCTTGGGTTTTTCTGCTAATTATTTTTGTAGAACACGATCTTTACAAAAAATTTCATCTGAAAAAACAAGAATCACTTAAAATGGTCCACTAATGAGTTCTCATTTCGAGTTTTAAAAAAGCCTATGTTTGACTTTCGTGATTTACATATTTTTGGCCCAATCGGTGGCTTTCGGACACCCTATCGACCTTAAACTTTAATTGAATTTCTTATGCATCTAGGCTAACATACAGGAAGATTTTATTTCATAAAAAGTTAGTAGAACTAACTCAATTTCGTCGATGAACTCCGAAAAGTAACCCCTCTTCTTGGTTGAAATTGACTTCTATTCTTGCTCAAAAATGGAAATTGAAAGAGGGTTTTTCTGACTACGGCGCTTCTAAACCTAGAATGGTGTGTTACAATTACGAATTTAAAGGCTCCAATTTGGGTCTTGGAGACCAAGATGTACAAATGGAGGAAATTCAATGATTTAAATCATTTTTAAAAATCGACTTCTCTAATTGATAGAACAAGTCTCTCCACTTTTAGACACTAATACAATTTTTAAATATGCTTTCCATAATGACGTATTTGGCCCCTCTCCATGCTTTCTTTCACATTTTTGGTCCAACGAAAATTAAACCCATCACTATTTTCTTTCCATTTTCTTTACCCATTTATTAATTAAGTCATGCCTAGTTTTTAGGGTTTTACAACTCTTCCTTGGAATTATCCTCTACTAACGGTTGAGAAAACTATGTCACTTAAACTTCTTTCTCTCTTTTCACCTTTTTCAGTACTACACTTTGGCATTCCTTTTGCCCCATGATTTGGTAGTTGAAACGCATAATATTTCCATTCATATTTTCTTTATCATCTAGGTACTTGGCAATCTCTGGGTTCCATTAATGTTCATAGAACATTACAATTAATTCTCCCTATAACTTATCTTCTTAGCTTTCACACCTTCTCATCTTATCAGTAATACAATTGTGCTAATATAGTACATAAAATAAACATCAGTAACTACTCCATAGAGATAAATGTTTATAATATGGGGCATACCAGATGCAACCTCATGAGTCTCTCTTGCCTCTTCCAAGGTTATGTTGTATACCCTACTGTTGATCCTCTCTCTCAGTGATTTGATGATAATCCCTTTTTCCTTTCACGTTGTATTTGT